AAAGTCCGTAACGGCCAATTGGTGCACAACTCAGAAATTATTGATTTTTGTACATGTTTAAAATTTGATTGTTTGCAAGGTTAAGGCCCTGAAGAAGAGTTGCCGAAAAGAATGTTTCGCCTGACAAATTGACTTTTCAAGTTAACAATGGGAATATTTACCGAACTTAACAGCTTTTAACTGTGATGCGGTGACCTGCAGCGAAAACTACCTGGGAAACAGGCAGGCTCTTAGATCTGCTGGAGAAGCAGTCATATACCATGGCAGTGAAGGCGAATGTTCGATTTCCGGGTGTATGCAAAAAGACGAAGGAGATTGCTTGTGTACCGAAGCAGTATTTTTCTTTATTTTTCTCAGCTTTTGAACTGGGAGAAGAGTAAACCGTCGGCGAGGACAGCACCAACGACAGTCAGAACTAGTCAAGAACCAGTGCCGTAGGTCTGGAGGTGATAACGCAGGGCTAAGTATACCGTTGCCAGATCATTCCATCGTTACAAATCGAAGGTGCGTGTAGTTAGTTGGGGCACTTCGTCACTCCATCACACAACCAACCTTTGGTCGTGCATGTGCGGCTTGCATGTGTGTTCAGTCCGATTGCATAAAGCAGTTTGGGGGACGGGATACGATGCACTACACCACACTGTTTCTTTGGTGGTCCTTAGTCTCTATGCTCCTGCTGTGCATGGGCCTGTGTACAATTCTAACACCTAGTCCCGCTGCCATCTGTCGCTTTCGAAACGTCATTAATTTATAACAGAGCATGCCATATCTTCGATAATGTTTCCGTTTTTGGTCTTCCGAGTACGAACACGTAGGCGTCGACTTATGAACGCTTTTGCGCAGCCATTCCGCATAAATGGGCTGTGGAGGTATCGGACCTCACGCGCTTTTTCCTCCGGGTTGCTGCGGGGAGTCTGGATCCGTTTGTAGGGCTTCTTGCCATGAGCCTGTGAAAATTGCTGGACAAACGCAGAGTTGCGTTGCGTTCTGCGTCTTCCCGTAAATCCTCGTCTCAATTTCACCCCTGATGAATGCATTAAGGAAGGTCAGCTGCTGAGGTCTGGTAGAACTACTACTCATGAACTATCGCAATGTTTTATGACGGCATTGTGACACGATCATCGTGAATCGTGATGTAACAGATTTGTTTGCGACAGTTTTTCTTGTGGTTAGGTCCTTAGACTAAAGCACTAGAGGACAGATTCTCGATAAAATGATCTAGGACCGTTGGACATCGACCGAATGCCGTCATAAAATGCCCGATTTCAGTATTTTAGCCACTCTTACGGTCCCTCAGGGGACAGACACAGGACTACACTCGTTAACTCGCAACAGAAAAGCCAGGAATCGACCAATTAGCTATCTTCCGTCGCCACATATGCCTACGCTTTTAAATAAACTGCGGACTAGGGACATAAGGAAATATTTTAATTGCACCTGTAAGGACGGCTTGAAAAACTTCCGTCGTGATTTGCCGATTTTTGTCGGGAATTGGATTGGTCGAGCGGTGCTAGGCAAACCTTCGAACACTTCCGTTATTGGCTGGTGTGGGCTTGGCTTCCAGCGCAGCAGCTGAGAAAGAATTTTGAGCTTCACAGACCTTAACCAAATTTTTGTCATTTATACATGCTTTCAATGTTATCACAAAGGTATGCTAGCCTGATATTCGGACAACAATTGTATTGCAAGTCAAATTGACTGCGCACTAGTCTGTTCAAGGTTTCCTAGTTGTTTTTATGCTTGCCGTCATGGTACGTAGTCCCGAAACGGGCGGTGCCTATGGGTCAATCCACACTTCACTTTGCACGCAATTGGAAACTCACTTCTTATCCATGTTTAGACATTTTAGTGTAAGATGCCTTTTTCGTCAGACAAGCACGGAATTCCATCACAGTCGGGGGTCTGAGCATGTACAGTCAGTGACAAATCGCATGAAATGTTAACAAGAGTTCTGAAATGAATTTCCGATTGGGAAGGATTCCCTAAAAAATATTTAAAACCGTAATATTTTAAACCTTAAAAATATTTATAACCGTACACTGTGATGCCAAAATATTTCAGAAACGCAAGGATGTTAGCTTTCGAATGCACATTTTTTCGGCTGCCCACAGTAACCGTACTCGGTACGAAATGACTGCCTAATTATTATGCATTTTTACTGTTAATTTTTGATCCCCTCTATAAATTCAAATATATTTTCTAGAAAGGTAAACGGAAATGTTCTTTGTCGTGTTCAGCTGGTAGTAAATGACGTTGTATTTAAATTTTCTACCTAATGGAAGAGTATATTTACGTTTTAAAGAAGGCTTTCAATTCCCGACTACATTGGGCCCGAGCTACCGATGCATTAGCGTCTAGGGTTTTCAGCCTACAAACTGCATCCTTTCCGCGTAAGGAAAGTAAACTCCTGTATTCCATTAAAAATATCATACACTATTCATAAACATTTGCAATAGACGTAGACTATGTTCTTTCCTTCACGAGGAGTACTAATAAACGAACGGATACGATACTTCTTGTACGGACCTTGTGCGGTCCTAAAAATCTCATAATTAGACACTTTTTAAAGTCCGAAAACAATTTTCTTCGGGTATGAAATAGGAAGAATAGGTAATCGGCCATCAACTGAATACAAGAAAGGGTATTTTGAGCATGTCTTTTTTTTTATGAGACCTGTTTCAATATAAAAATGGCATAGAAAGTCGATAGAGACGGATAATATCTAAATAGTCATATTTACCAAGTAAACTTTTTACAGGCGGCCGAAAACCAATGCATTCAGAAGCTGGCACTTTAGCCTGTTTGAAATATCATTTACGGTGATCTGTTTTACAACCTTATTTAAATAATCTTTCGTATTAAAGCTTTTCGAACTTGAAGTCCTTCACTGTCGCCGGTTTTGTATTCAACTTTATCAAACACATTTACTTACATTATATCAGTAGCATTTATGTAGCAGTTGATCGGCTGTCTGTTTAGCATTTCAACTAACAAATTTGTGTATCTCCTTTCGTATTTTCCTCGATTTTCTGTCTATAGGGTCTACGCCTGCTCCTGTACGCCATTCAGCAGGCGGCAAGTCGACACGGAAAGGTTATTGAGCCTCTTCTTTCTCTTTCCATCGACTTCTATGCTCGCGTTTTCGTACGTGTGCGAAGCAGTCCCGGAAGTGTAAAACATGTTGCCGCAAAAATGGCCCTCGTCTATTCCTGTACTGGATGCCAAGTAAGTGCTCACAGTAATATGCGGGAACCTTTTCAATGTGCTTAAATATCTACAAATGTCTATTAAACGTATGAGGTAACGTTAGACCATCCTTCTCCTTCCGTAAAGGCGGCCGAAAAATACATAACTTGTGTTTGCGACTGACTGGGGTTTTGGGGCTGTTACAAAAATAGAATGGTCATGATACTCATTATTATGCTTTTCAACAGCTGCTAGTTTTGAGGACGAATACATTGCATAGACATATCGCTTTAATTGTCATTTTTATACTTTCTTAACTTCTTTGTAAGGTCTATTTATGCGGGAGTGCGCATGCTTTCTTATTGCTATAACTGACCTTCAGGTGGGGAAGTAAATTAAGACATATGGCTGGATAATAACGACTTTATCTTACCTTATCTTCGCTAATTTGTGATGACCAGTGCAAAATAAGTAAAGCACTTTCGGGCTTCGATTTTCGGACAGTTTTCCTAAAAGTTAAGTGGACCAAGAAGATAATAGTTTTGGGAACCGAGAGAAAATAAAAAAAACGTAAGCTCGCTAATTTGTATGGTCGCTTTTTAAAGCCGTCTTACCATCTGTTTGCTTATACACTGTTCATAAGGTTCTTATGCATTGCGAATTGTTTATGATTCAATTTTAAGTAAAATAAAAGCAACCGGTCAATCATAAAAAAGACAGTTTCCACAGACATTCAAGCTAGGTCTTTTTCTGCAATGAAATCAGTATGAAAGCAGGAGCCACACTGTATCTGAATTATTTTATTTAGCGACACTGATTGCAGACGCAGTAAACATTTGTGTTCCTACAATATTAACTATATTCTGCTTATTATTTTTTTCCACCTCACTTCAGTTCCGGTATACAACCATGAACTGATTACGAACACAGTTTGACAGTGACACTCCTTTAATCCATCCACGTCAAAACCGTTTGTATCCAGGTGACAGTTACCAGACAAGCTGTCTAGATCTTGCCATATTAACAGCTGGGTAAACTATTCAAAACGTAATCTGGCGGAGTTGGGACAACAGAACACGGAGGAGCAATTATTCCGTGGGATTACTTGGGAGAATTCATTGAATGAACTTAATACCATTGTAACTATCAAGTCTGACCACAATTCCAATTCAGAAAACAGGACCATATTGCGTCACAGATACTTGAAGCTTATCTAAAAAGTGGATCTTTGTAACCCACGGAATTTTTTTTATCGCGTCTTATATAAAGAAAGAGTTCTACCTTTCGGAAAACAATTAATACATTAACAGCGAATTTGTAAAAGCTACTTTAGAAGGTAACGCAATTTTAATGTCGTTCCTTCTTTTACTACACACACTGTTGGCTTCGTCGGATATTCAGAATGTCAGCCTTTAAGGTGTGAACTTTGGTCAATTATAACCACTTTAAAAAACTTCGCCTTTACTGCCTCTTGGCATGCGACCGTTTATTCACAGAGATTCATGCGTTCTTAAAACCGGACATACCGCGGCTTTTCCGGAAAACAGGCAGGGATTCGGGCGAGCGGCTACTTTGTTTTTATTTCTCCTACGAGGCAGGTCGTTCTAACGACTCATCTCTTCCGACTTCGCTTTCCTCTGCCGTCGTTTCCGCTTATTTCTGTCATTCTGTTGCCCTAAACCGGACTGCATCCTGTCTGGGCCATATTCTGGTCGGGGTCTTCCTTCCGGAGTCTCCTGTGGGTGCTTTCAGACATGAATTTTCCTGACTGTTGCTGCCTGCTTGAATTAAAGTGTTGATGCCTTCCTAAATGCGCACAGTCTCATCCACTTACTTTCATCCTCCACGGCTACCGTAGAAACAACCTTAAATCCATCAAAACATATTTTGTTTGGTCGGAATCGGTTTTGGTCCTTGATCTTGCATTTGTTCCGATGTGGGCTTTTTTCCCCAATTAAGTGACTTCTAGCAAGATATTTAGGCGAATGATTGTTTTCGCCAAGTCAGCATGAAATGCAGATGGCTGCAGACGGTACGCACGTCTTTGAACTGCGTCCGCATCTTACCACCAGAACCGTGGGAGAAGGTGCTGTTATGACTTTGTAGCACTTTGGCATTTGACGGAGTGATCGGGAGGCTTTGCTAGCGTACCTTGTTTCAGTTTTTACCAAATTTTCTGAATTTCTGGTACTTGTTATGCATTTTATAGAGGAGTTAGTTGCCCCACTTCGCGAAGATGGAACTACAGAAAGCTGGATTCAATTCAGTTACCGAACCCAAGCATTTTGTCTATGAACAGTCATTTAAGCATTAAAATATCTCCTTAAGACGATACCACAGTTTTTAGAGTATAGATTAGCGCAAAGTATATCCCCGCAAAAGCGTACCATACACGCGAAGGTCTTACTAACCCATTGGTTACCTATGAACTATTTGTACAAGTTCATAGGTAAAACCCAAATTAATTCTGCGAAAATTCCCATTTTACGATTGAAAAGTCATATTGGTAAACAATTGTTTTCAGTCATTCATCATCAGGCCGGTACAGTGAGATGGAGAATAAAACTGGTCAGTTAATTGTTGCATTTATATGATCGTCAGGTTGAGGGAGGGGGTGAGGCTGGGGGTTGGTGGGTCGGTGGGTGTAATTAAACATCTAGGTTTTCCCTCGTCTCCTGAATGCGGGCGCCAGCGCGTGTAGGACGTTGGTT